TTCCATGTACCTCAATGGATTTTCCTTTTTAGTGATTATAAGTTAATCTATAATGTATGTCAAAGTTGGCCCTTTGCCCTCAGTATTTTATTTAGTTCAGTATGTGTGGAGAAGGAAGAATATTAATTCATAGTCTTCTTAAATGCATCATGTGGGAATAGGATATGGGTTCATAGGAATTCTTAGCATTTTGATCGGTGAGGCAGTGCGTGTTTTGTACTTCTAGCTGAAAGCATTGTTAAGTTTCCTTCACAAGCTCCTTAACCTGTTTGAGCGGACTGGTGGTGCCTTTGTGTTTTGCTGTTTGCAATGTTCTTAGTTCTTGCTGACAAGATACAGAAGAATTGGATATAGTATGCAAGACAGTGTCTTCTGATATTCCCCAGTGTCACCTCCTTACTGAAATCTTGGTGTGTTGAGAACTGGTCGATCTGTGTTTGGTAAGATCAAAGGGCAAGCTCACAATAACACTGCTGCGCTAAGATTTTACTACTTTATTCTATCTCAAATGCCTGTGCATGTGTCACTTCCTTTCTTCTTCTCAGACAAAAGACGATTCAAGCACTTTCAGACACTTGATAGAATAACTTCACTGTTTAATTTTGGTGTGCCAGCTTTCTAAAAGACCTACTTTTTAATACGAAGTATTTATTGAATAAAGTTAAATTTTTAAGTATCATATATAAACCATTACATTTTCTGCCTTTTTCATTTAGCCATTTTGGGGTGTGTTTTGGAAGACAAATAGAATAGTCCATACAGGAAGATTTCTAGGCATTTATATTATTTGGAAAGTGAGGCTTATAGCTGGAACGTATTTCACGAACATAACATACAGCTTTTCAACAGTATATAAATTCTGATTAGCAAGTTAGTAAAAATATCCAAATAAGGCAGGAGGCATGGGGTCAGAGTAATCACCGTAAAAATTGGTTTCCTTTGGTGTGTTCTTTGAGTTAAAAGCCACCCTTGTCATACATATGTGTAGGTGAAAAAATTCTGGTGAATAACAGCAATATCCCTATCTTGCTGGACTGCCCTTGGCTTTCTCAAATAAACATTTTCTCTGGTATCATTGTGAAGTGGAAGTCGGGCACATGCTGTGATAATTCTCTCAACTGACAGTGTATTACAGCCAACCATTGAATTGCCAAATATTTGAAACGAAGCAGAGGAGAGTTATTACGACAGGGTTTTTATATTTAGGGGATGTAAAGTAAAAAAAGGCAAGCAAACACTTCCTATTTTCTTTTAATATTGGAGGAGGAAAATGAGAAAGTGCTGGATCAAAATCAAGCAGAGATTTTCTTTTGGATTGACCAACCTCAATACAAGAGTATGCAGTATTTAAAACAGCATGTATCTTCCTTACATCAGTTTCAAGAATTGATCTGGAAAGACATCAGAGCTGACAACTAAAAGACTGCTGTCTTCAGGAGAAAGGTCTCTCAGTCAGAAGGTTGTCAGGTAAATTCAGGTTTCCTATCTGTTTGCTGTGTAAATTTTGAATTGATACTTCTGTGAGTTGATTCAAGAAATTTATTCACAAGTGGAGAGTGCCTGACCAAATGCTAATATAGCTGTAGGAGGAAGTGGTTGATGGTACTGTCAATGTAGTCTTTCACTGTGGCACTTCTCTTGTCCTGCGGTAGCAGCTAGTAATTTGAAAATGGCATTTCACAATCTTTAAAATGTAGTTCATAAAATGCTGAGAGCCAGGGAAATGGGAACTGGAGAGTATGACTCCTAAAATCACAGCTTCTGTTACTGTTCTGAGTGGATGAAAATCTATTAGTGGGACAAAGCATGGAGACGCCAGGAGGCTTAAATGGAGAAAACAATGATTCATGCTCCAGTACAAATCAGATGGATGTGGGGACACAATTTCAGTGTACCGTCAAAACTGCAGCAGTTCATTTGCCTCTACTCCCTGGTAGCTTGGATTTGCCCTTTTCCTCCTCAAGTAGAAGGTCTTAGAGAGTTCTGTGTTCAGTGTGGTGGGAAGGAATGGACCCACAGTAGAGCCCCTGGAGTCTGTTGGGAGTGGATGTGAGAGAAGCAGATAGGTCAAACTGTCCACAGATTTCAGCTGCGGCCCGTAGAAAAATCACAGAGTTTTGTTGTGTCAGACTTTCTGTGGTTTGAAAACCTTAGCTACTTTGTTGCTCTCAGCAGTTAAGCAAACACTATTTTCAGCGACTTTGAAGTAGAAGACCTGGGGTGCTAGGAGGGGTCTTTGGTTTTAGTTGCTGAGAGAGCAGAACTCTCTGGTTCAACCTGAATTCTCCTTCATGGCTAGCTTCAGAAATGTAACCTTTTCTACTTCTAACTTAAGAACAGATTTTGAAGAAATATTTGAACAGTTCTTTGCTATTTGGGTCAGAAATCATCAGTAATTCTTTGACCAGTTGCTGAATCTTGTAACAGGAACAAAAGTGTTAAGCTGGTGGCAGTTCTATCTCCTGTGACCCAGAGGATGCCAAGGCATATATTCTTTTGGTGTGCAGTGAATGGTTTCTGACTAAAATTCTTCCCTCTGAGAAAGCTTCAGTTACTATTACTGTTCTTTGGAGAGCTAAAATAGAAAAAGGGCTACCAAAAGGCCGCTTTCCATCTCCTTGATATCTCTGAGGGAGAAACACTTAAAAAAAGGAAATGTTAGTTTACAAAAGTTGGTTAAGTCACTAAGATCAGCTATGTACTTGAAATTTCTTTATACTAGCCAATATAGTTAATTTTAAATTAGCAGCTATATTTTAATTCATTCCTAAACAAGATTTTTGTTAAATATATAATCAATTTATGTAAATGTCTTCAAGGAAATGTATATTCTAACTGAAGGAAGAAGTCTGCAGTGTATTTTTTATTTTAGACGAGTTGAGGTTTCTTTTGGAAGAATCCATTTTTCTATGCATATATTCTAGTCTGAATAGATCAAACCCCAAAAATTGCTTTAATCTCATATTGACATGAGATTTTCTTCATAGTAATTCTAGATGTTTTCTTTATAATGCTTTTCGAGGGGATGCCCACTGAGAAGGATTTCAGTGTGCGGAAGTTTTGAGTCAGATTGCACAGCCAAAGAAGTTTTTGTTCATTAAGCATACAGTTTCTTACATAGGCACTGATTTGAACAGAGTTAAGGAGCTAGATCCAGACTTTAGCTGATATTGAGTGAATGATATTTTTTCATTCGCATGCTTGCTGATGTGGCTTTTAAAGCAACTTCCCGTTTAGTTTCTTAAACATGACATTTCAAAAGCTCCTTTTAGCTCCAGAACTCTATATGTAAATGAATTTGTGAAAGTTGCTTGCAGTTTTATATAGAGTTCTATCCAGATTTATGGATGCAAATTTTGTTTGCTTTTTGAGTTCCTGGCAAGATTTCTTTATGCATTTATTGTAAATTACTAAGGTAGCAGTTGCAATTTTTCTGCAGTGCAGGCTTAACTGTAGTAATTCCTGTTTTTAATTCCTGTACTGTTCAACTGGCCTGTCCTACTGTTGGAGTAGGGGCACATTCTAGAAGGTTGTTTGGAGGTTTCTGGCAAAGTGCCTGGTAGCGTAAATTAGGCTTAACTTTACTTAGCAGGAAATATGCAAATGCAGCCAGGACTGATGCTTCGTTGTTTTTATATTGACATGGATAGAAGGAGAGCAGAAGTCACAGTTAAATGAGGAAAGATGTAGAGCTGCGTTATTAGGCATGGTACTTTAAAGCAACAACTGTATGTCCACCAGAAAATGTCAGATTGAGATACTGATTTTCACAGGGCAAGCCTAGAGTTGTTTAGCATTACAACTAATGCTGTCAACAAAGATATGTCTAAAACTGTGTTTGATGAAGAGGATCAGGATGACCTACCATGAGTTAAGTCCAGAAAGTTAAAAGGTGAAACAAAACCTATGACTGCATAATTTAAAATTCTGAGCTACAATCTTCACTTAATCTGGGTTCAGTGCATTTTCCTGAATGGATAGTATTCTCAGGGTAGAGAAACATAAACTTTATTTTTTTTTTTTTCTCTTATTGTCTTGTTTGGCCTTTTCTTTCATGCAAAGAGACTAGCTCAATGGGTTAATTTTTACCAAGTGGAACAAGTACAGACTAAGTTACCTTGTGACTGTTTCACTTCTTTAGAGAATGAATATGTCTGTGCAGGTTTTGCCTGTTTTATGTATTATTCATCTATAAGAAAGACAGGCTTCTGTATTTAGGTATTCTTCTTATTATTATTACTACTGTTAGTTTTATCTTTTTTACATACTCATGAGAGAAAATATCAGCTTTTTTCCTATAAGTGAGTTTTTAATAACACATTTGTGTGCATATCTAGCTATAGTATGCTTATTAAACAAACTAATTTTTATATACTCGTGAAGAAATAGGTAAAAATTTTCAAGATGTGGCTTTTTTTTGACAAACAAAATGATGGTATATTACTTATTCCAAAATAAAGTTAAGTAAATGAGTGGAAAGAGAGCTGAAAAAATTGGTCCATTGTAGCGTTTTTATTTAGATATATATAGCCTGTTAATGTAAAGTCATGCAATGTATGTAGTGTATGTACCAATAAGAGAATAACATGAGTACAATATGCAAAACTCATATTTATCCGACTTTGTGACACAGTTGGGAAAATAAAATGGTATGATAGATGAACTATAAGCATAAATGCTACTGTTCATAAACTATTTTAATGAGAGAAAATGTCACTGGGAAGAATATATTTATATATTCTTTATTTTTATATAAATCTGGTTATGGATAATCTCTTTTCTGTTTGTTTGTTTTGAACTTCTTCGTTTTGTTTTTGTCTTTCCTTGATAAACAGTTCATGTTTTCCTTGAAATCTATGGAAAATTTATATGACAAATTTAAACTCCTTGTTTGCAAGTAGACTTACAAATTTTAGAAATGAAGAAATATTTTGCTTTTGAAAATGTGTCTACAGTACTGTATACAGTTTGCTAACATATATATGAAATGTCACTTACAGGTGCTGACCTTAAGGAAAGGGCAAAAATGCACTCAAGTGAAGTTAGCTCTTTTGTCTCCAGGGCAAGAGCAACTATTAATGAATTGGGTAAGTGACCTCTTCCTTGAAAAATGTTTTTGTAACTTTAACCTGAGAATGCTAGATCAGAGGTATGACATAAATATGCATTGTTTATTCTTGACAGGTAGTAGAGTATACCTAACTGTGTAGTATGGGATCACAGATCTTGAATTGGAAAGAAACACATAAGGATTATTGAGTATATTGATAAATATGAATCATGGTGCATTCATTCTTTTAAAACGTTCCAAGTTGAGTTGGACTTTTTAAAAGAATGCTAGAAAAGCTAAATCTCAACTGAAATAAAGGTGATTTGACCTGCTGTTTTCATAAAGGGTGAATTGTTCACTGACATCAAAGTGCTTTAGAATTCAGTTTTTACTATTGCATTCCTGTGGTTTGTATAATTAGTACAGTCTAATACATTTTAGACATGTTAAATGTCAACTGCTAATAGAAATTTAGCCACTAAGGTATTTTAAAATTTTGTTTAATATATTTTAGCATAGTAAAACCTGTTAATAGTTTTGGATTTTAATCAACTTGTACCAATTTTTAAGGATAGTAATTTCTCTGTATGTTTTACTTTAGGAATTCACCTTCAAGTAATTATATTTCTACATCTCTGCTGATCAATTTAATTATAATTACTTTTTAACAGGTTATTGCCAATATGATCTGTTGAAAAGAGAAGTATAGTGTTCCAAGTTTTAAGGAATTAATTTTCTACATTTAACTTCCACATAAAACATATTTTGTCACTAAAAATTTGGCACACAACTCTGAGGAATAAATAATTACTTGGAAAATTTATTTAGATGCATTTCCTTAAGAACACTACGTCACATTTTGGTTTGGCAGAATGTTATGAATGGATAGCAGGGTTTTTTTTAGGTTAATGACAACCTGCTGAAGAATGAAACTTTGATTAGGTAATTCATGGAGATACTTATATCCTGAAATGACTGTCATGTCTTTGAAGTGAAGTAGACACTCAAGGCTGTTTAAATAAGTGAAATCTGTAAAATACCTAGAAGTGAATAGATCATTAATTTCCTGCAGCTGATACTGTATGTCATGCTAGTACTTGTCCTTTTATTGGAATGCCAAGCAAGTGTGGCAACAAGTTGCTCCATTCATTTACTTTGTAAGAATTTTGGGAGACTTTCTTACCATTAAGTAATAATTTTTCAGCCTTTCTTGGCTTGAATTTACTGGAAATACTTTAAGCTGTTATTAGTGTTTAAACACGAGCAACTGGTTTCAAGATTTTCCCATGATTAGTAAATAGTTTCTAAAAACCAATTATTTTCAAATTTTTAAGTGAGAAAATTTCTAAAGTCTGAAGAAATATTTGGATTTGTCATTCTTCGCTGAATGAATGGAAGATGTTCACAGTTATTTGATGCTTTGCTTTGCCGCAGGGTTGAAAAAAGTTGGAGAAAAATGTTTGATTGTTTTCATCTTCATTAAGGTTCCTGTGAGAGTATTTAACTGAATTTACTGAATATGTGAGAAAATTTTCAGTGTTGTCTAAAAGGCTTACAGTGAATTACTCGCCTCTGTCAGTTTCACTAGACCATTCTCAGACCCCCATCCAGCCTGGCCTTGAATGCTTCCAGGCATGGGGCCTCCACAGCTTCTCTGGGAAAGGTGTTCTGGTGCCTCGCCACTCTCACAGTAAATTTCTTCCTAAAACCTAGTCTCTTCCTGTTCATCTTGTCCTGTTGCTACAGATTCTTTTAAAAAAACCCTCTCCATCTCTTTTCTAGGCTCCTTTCAGGTACTGGAAGGCTGCAATTTATGTCAGTCCAAAGCCTTCTCTTTTCCAGACTGGATATCCCAATTCTGTCAGCCTTTCCTCACAGGAGAGGTGCTCCATCTCTCTGATCAATTTAGTGTTCCTCCTCTGGGTGCAGTCCAGAGCACACTCACACCAGCAGGTCAATGTCCATCCTGTGATGAGGACTGCAGGGCTGAATGCATTACCCTGGGTGGGGGTCTCATGCCATTCTCTACATCATCTACATCAGGAAATGGTAGACAGTTTCAAAAAAATATATGTAGGTGTTTAGGTTAGTTGGGTGCATAAGATACTGCATTGTGTGATGCCCTTATGAATAGAAGTGAATATTAATTTTACAGCTCCTCAAGGGTTCTTTTTTTTTTTTAATTCTTCTGAAGAAGTGATCTGTCATTACAAACTGTAATTTATGTAGAACTATAGGGACATTGTATTTGCATTTGGTCACTCCAATTGATCTGTAAATTGAAAATAATAGCAGTATTTTTCTTCCCCAGCAACAACTAGAATGCGGTGAGACAGTTGAAGAGCAGAAACAATTTTCAAATTAATATTTACCACTGCAGAATGTTATGTAGCTAGGGAACAATATTTCCAATCTCCTATTTTGGTTTTTTTTTTTTATATCCAAGTTTAATACTGTAATCTCTTTAAAATGTATTCTACTTCTTGCTTTTCAGAACTAGGTCATGTTTTGATAATTCCATTTGTATTCAGATGTCTGACCTAGTAAGGAGCTACATCTTTTTAGCTATATTTTCAGAAAGAAGACCATTAAGTTACCTGTATAGATAAAATACAATAAAGATTAGTTATGTGTTGAAAAACTAGACAAACCTAGCTTTTTAGAATTGTCATCCTTTGGCTTCTTAAGTTCTGTCAATGTCATAACATTTAAAATCCTTACACTAGTTGTTTTGTAAAAAACTGTAGTATCATTTTGGAATACAGCTGCAGAAGGGAATTTTCTGTAAATTGAAAGCATACTGTACTTATTTGTATGGGAATAATTTATAACTTCTTGCTAAATTTGGCTGAAGAAGTAAGACTGTAGTTTTACTTCTTACTTTATTTATAAATAAATGCTTGAAAAAATTGGACAGAGCCGTTAGTTGTGGCACTTGGAGCTTTAAGCTGGGGAGGGGGAAATGAAAACAGCCTCTATTTTTAGCAGTGGTTGCTTTTGCTAAAATTATACCAGAATTGTGGAGGTTTGTTTGGGGTTTGAGTTTGTGTGTGTGTGTGTGTCTGGGTTTTTTTGTCATTTTTTTCTTTGCTGTTTTTTTTTTTTTTTAATAGTAAGAATTATAAGACTGCTTGTCCATTACTACGTTCTGCCTTGAAGCACTTCATTACTGATGTGAGGCTGTCAAGAAACTGGGAGCAATTGGGAGAGAAAAGCCTTAATAGATCTCTTATAACTACGCACAGCAAGACTGGCCTGGCTAAATTAAGTCAAATGACAATGATTTCCAGTAGCCTTATTTTTGAGGATTTGGGGTCCACCAGGGTGGGAGGGGGAAACCCCCATCATTGTGGGTCAGATCTTCAATATGTATTTTATAGTATGCCTCCTATTAAATCCATGTTGTTCTTTATAATGATGGTGGGGACAGAGCTGTGATAGTATGTATATGTTTTGGGATTTCAGTTGCAAAACAGACAAGCTATGTATGAAGCAGAATGCAATTACCACACTCCTCAATAAAAATATTATATTTAATAAAAATAAAATATGAAGCTGTAGAAAGAATTTCAATTCAGCACATACATGTAATTACTTGATTTGACATTTGGCCCCAACCTATACTAAGTGAGAAATGCCGTTGATTAGCAAAGCTTTTCCAAAGAATGTAGGCACAAGTGCCCAAATCCCATAAACAGGGAATAAAAATTGGAGACTGACTTTCTTGGTTACTTCTTAAAATTAATGTGTACTTAGGTTTGTTTTTTATTTCACAATTGGAGACAAAACACCTTACTTGTGGCCTGATGTAACTTAGGTCTGAACTAAGTTAAGAATGAGTTTGTTAATTAAATGCTAAGGTTACTTGTTTTCTGTTGGTCTTGTTACATTGTAACAAATCTGACAGGTCTTTGTTGAAAACGTTTTATTAGTTTTGAGGCACAAGCTGTGATACAACTTTAATAAGTGGTGATATTTAGTAACTTTGTTTATACATAGTTCTATCAGTTATGGTTAGTTTTAACATGCTCCACTTTGAGTGAGATCATCTGGAATGAAAGCACCTTGTGGTCAGTTGCTTACATTTGTATTTTTTTTATTCTGTGCTTTTTATTATATTCAGAGCAGGCACAGTTCAATATTTACAGATCTTTTTTTTCTCCTTTAGTATTTTTTTGTCCTTGCTTTCAGTCATCACCAAACTTTTAATTTACCTAAAAGAGCACACTTGTTCATGCTTCAGGCAAACATCTTTTCAAGAAAGTTCCTAATTTGACTATTGAAGATTGTGCATACACACTTTTTTTTTGGTTCCATGTTATATGCCATGGTTTGGTTTTGGATGCAAGCTGTGAAAAACTGGTTTCAGAGGTCCCAAGAACCTCTATCAATATTACAAAAAATTTCACTTCATTGCTGGTCTGCTAACTGCTATGCCACCTTCCCATTGCAAAGGCTTAAAAATAAGCAATAATCATCATTGGTGTGGTGGGTGCTCTGCCTTATTTTACTGTTGAATCTCTGAGGCTTCTATGGAACTTTAGTTAGCATTTTAAACCCTGGTTTAGTGGTGAACACTCAAGATTAACCAAATTTACCAAATCCACTTGTGTTTGCTGGAAGTAGATGTGGCCATCAAAGATGGAGTACTCTGGTTTGGAAATCCTTTGATAAGAACTGCGGATTTCTCTCTTAGGGAGGAGGGATACAGGCTATGAGTTGTGTTTACTGGGAAACTGAATGAAATTTCAGATAGCTGTCAAATTGAAAAAGGACAAATTACAGCAAGCAGAGCCGTGCTTAACAGCCAGCCTCAGGCATCATGGTCTTTCTGTGTTGCTGACACTGTCAAATGTAGATTTTAGCACAGTATTTTGCTTGCTGTGTTACGATGTTGCCTGTTTGATTAAGTGAACAGCATAACGAACAAAATCCTTGAGTGCCAGCATTCTGAGTATGTTGCTAGGCTCTTGGTTGTTTTCCAGTTGTAGATTTATTTCTTCTCTTAATATTGAATTAAGTTAGATAGCCTTTGAC